GATGAAATTGCATATATTTTCTTCAAATATAAAAAATACAATAGCATGATTTCTTCATTTATTGTCATTACTCTCCGTTTTTCCCTCCATTCGTTAAATTCGGCGAAGACTTTTTCATAATGTTCCCTGGATTTCGCTGGCAATAAATGAAAAATTGCTACTTAAGCCACAGGAACACAATTACTTTCTTGCATTTTTACCAAATTCAGATAGAACTGTTATTGAAATAATTGATAATAAGCAACGTACCATAGCAACCAGTAGATGTAACAAAACCTACCAGGTTTCATTGAGTACTATAGTGAGAAATACCAAGTCGTGCGAATATGCTTTTATTAAATTCCAATAATTCTGACTCCACAAATATGATTGTGATGTGGCTATGGATAAAACCTTCTCGCGTTTAAACATTCTTGTGTGGATAAAATGCTACTTAAAACACTTATACAATAAATAACTATATTTCTATGTGGGGAATTAAAGATTTTCTTGGGGATGATAAGGAATTTATTTCAATTCTAAAAAAATCATTTAAACAGTTAAAATGTAATTAAAGCGTTTGTTGTACACAATTAAATATTTCTTGAAAAATGTACTTACCTTTGTTTATTATTTGAAAAACTACTTTAATTATCTCTATTAAAAAATATTTTATCTTTACTCAATAGGCAAACTTTTGTTCCAACATTTTTTATTTTATTTATTTACCGTTAACTGATCAGGCAATTAGATTTTGAATATAATTTCAGTGAGTTTTTCCAAACATCATGATGATAATAAACTATTTCATCTATAATGAATGCACATGTTACACTATTTCTTCCTTTTGGTCCTCCTGTATAATTTTAAGGAATAAATTTACTTCCTAGAAATGTGTTTGCATGGAATTAGATGATTAAACATTCAATTGTTCCAGTTTGTCGAAGACACTAACATAATATTCCCCAAAGTAATTTTTGAAAATATTATTCAATTTTCACAATAATGTATATTAATTCTCACGGCATTTGTTTAGGTTCTATAAATATATACCGGGTGATTCAGTTTGATATTCGCAGCCTCGTATCTCTTTTATTATAACAAATAGCTATAACAAACAAATATTTTTAAATCGCCGCATAAATTCTATCAAATGACATTATTAGATCGTCTCCATGGTAACATATATCAAAATTGCTATAGTCAACTGTTTTTATTTAAATGGCACCACTATATATTTTTTATCAATTCTGGAAGATATTTTTTTTCTGCGTTCAGCTATATAAAGAAGTCTATAGTTTCATTAGAAATATTGCTAGAAAAACAGCAAAAAAGATGAACCCTACTTTCAGTAGCTTTATTCTGAAAAATGATAACCAGCTGTGGAAACAACTGAATTTTGACGTTTCTAAATAACGGTTTTTCAAAATAATTGACATTTTGTACCTACCTATTCTATCTATAACNTGAAAAATGATAGCCAGCTGCGGAAACAACTGAATTTTAAAGTTTCTAAATAACGGTTTGTCAAAATAATTGACATTTTGTACCTACCTATTCTATCTATAAAACTAATTAATTATAACATGAATACTTATAGTAACCAAGAAAAACTAGATATGATTTTCATCTATGGATAAGGCCGAAAGAACGCTAAAGCTGTCAGGTATTTATATCAACATCGTTTTCCTCAGAGACAACTTCCATCAGATAAAACTTTCGGAAAGTTAGCCAGGAATTTAGCGGCAGATGGAAGTTTTCAAAAGAAAAGAAGAGTTTTTAAACCCAGAGGGGCAAGAGATAAGAACATTAGATAAATATGTTAAATGGCCTGCTGGATCTCCAGATCTCACACCTATAGATTTATTTCATTGGCCTTAACTAAATGATATTGATGACTTTAAAACAGAATAAGAGTAGAATGTCGGTATTAAACGAAGAAACATTAGAACGTGTTTGTAGAGAGGGAGTGATGAACAGAGCTATTCTGTGTTTGGAAGCAAATGGAGGTCATTTTGAACATTTGAAATAAGTATCGTTTTAAATTGTTATATTATTATCGTATTAAAAATAAAATATATTACTTTAAAAAATATAGTAACTTGTTTCCGCAGCAGGCTATCATTTTTCAAAATAAAGCTACGAAGCTAAAGCTTCATTTTTTTGCTGTTTTTCTACTAATATTTCTAATGAAACTATAGACTTCCTTACATAGCTGAACGCAGAAAAAAAATATCTTCCAGAATTGATAAAAAAATATATACTGTGCCATTTGAACAAAAACAGTTGACTATAGCAATTTTGACATGTTGCCAAGGAGACGATTTAATAATGTCATTTGATAGAGTTTAAGCGGCGATTTGAAAGTATATAGGGTTTATTATAACTATTTGTTAAAATAAAAGAGATACAGGGCCGCGAATACCAAACTGGATCAACCAGTATAGTTTACTCCAGCAAATCCACATGTTCGCATTATTGATGTCTCGATGTGCACCATCCACACCATTCTTCATTTGTTTACATTTACCAAACCGCATCATCTGTAATCGGCTTAAGGGTGTAATGTTCCTCGAAACTCAAAACTTGTATAACGGACGACGCATCTTCGGAAAGAGATGCAGCTACTGTCATTTCTGCGGATCGCTGAAATTTACGACCGCTTAGGACCGTCCTCTCTACACTGTGAAATATTTAATTCCTAAACATTTTAGCCAGAAGTACGTATGTACAACATACATAATACATACACNAGATGTAACAAAACCTACCAGGTTTCATTGAGTACTATAGTGAGAAATACCAAGTCGTGCGAATATGCTTTTATTAAATTCCAATAATTCTGACTCCACAAATATGATTGTGATGTGGCTATGGATAAAACCTTCTCGCGTTTAAACATTCTTGTGTGGATAAAATGCTACTTAAAACACTTATACAATAAATAACTATATTTCTATGTGGGGAATTAAAGATTTTCTTGGGGATGATAAGGAATTTATTTCAATTCTAAAAAAATCATTTAAACAGTTAAAATGTAATTAAAGCGTTTGTTGTACACAATTAAATATTTCTTGAAAAATGTACTTACCTTTGTTTATTATTTGAAAAACTACTTTAATTATCTCTATTAAAAAATATTTTATCTTTACTCAATCGGCAAACTTTTGTTCCAACATTTTTTATTTTATTTATTTACCGTTAACTGATCAGGCAATTAGATTTTGAATATAATTTCAGTGAGTTTTTCCAAACATCATGATGATAATAAACTATTTCATCTATAATGAATGCACATGTTACACTATTTCTTCCTTTTGGTCCTCCTGTATAATTTTAAGGAATAAATTTACTTCCTAGAAATGTGTTTGCATGGAATTAGATGATTAAACATTCAATTGTTCCAGTTTGTCGAAGACACTAACATAATATTCCCCAAAGTAATTTTTGAAAATATTATTCAATTTTCACAATAATGTATATTAATTCTCACGGCATTTGTTTAGGTTCTATAAATATATACCGGGTGATTCAGTTTGATATTCGCAGCCTCGTATCTCTTTTATTTTAACAAATAGCTACAACAAACCCTATATATTTTTAAATCGCCACATAATTTGTATCAAATGATATTATTAGATCGTCTCCATGGTAATATATATCAAAATTGCTATAGTCAACTGTTTTTATTTAAATGGCACCACTATATATTTTTTATCAATTCTGGAAGATATTTTTTTTCTGCGTTCAGCTATATAAAGAAGTCTATAGTTTCATTAGAAATATTGCTAGAAAAACAGCAAAAAAATGAACCCTACTTTCAGTAGCTTTATTCTGAAAAATGATAGCCAGCTGCGGAAACAACTGAATTTTAAAGTTTCTAAATAACGGTTTGTCAAAATAATTGACATTTTGTACCTACCTATTCTTTCTATAAAACTAATTAATTATAACATGAATACTTATAGTAACCAAGAAAAACTAGATATGATTTTCATCTATGGATAAGGCCGAAAGAACGCTAAAGCTGTCAGGTATTTATATCAACATCGTTTTCCTCAGAGACAACTTCCATCAGATAAAACTTTCGGAAAGTTAGCCAGGAATTTAGCGGCAGATGGAAGTTTTCAAAAGAAAAGAAGAGTTTTTAAACCCAGAGGGGCAAGAGATAAGAACATTAGATAAATATGTTAAATGGCCTGCTGGATCTCCAGATCTCACACCTATAGATTTATTTCATTGGCCTTAACTAAATGATGTTGATGACTTTAAAACAGAAGAAGAGTAGAATGTCGGTGATTAAATGAAGAAACACTAGAATGTGTTTGTAGAGAGGGAGTGATAAACAGAGCTATTCTGTGTTTGGAAGCAAATGGAGGTCATTTAGTATTAAAAATAAAATATGTTACTTTAAAAAATATAGTAACTTGTTTCCGCAGCAGGCTATCATTTTTCAGAATAAAGCTACGAAGCTAAAGCTTCATCTTTTTTGCTGTTTTTCTACTAATATTCCTAATGAAACTATAGACTTCCTTACATAGCTGAACGCAGAAAAAAAATATCTCCCAGAATTGATAAAAAAATATATAGTGTGCCATTTGAACAAAAACAGTTGACTATAGCAATTTTGACATATGTTGCCATGGAGACGATTTAATAATGTCATTTGATAGAGTTTAAGCGGTGATTTAAAAATATATAGGGTTTGTTATGGCTATTTGTTAAAATAAAAGAGATACAGGGCAGCGAATACCAAACTGAATCACCCAGTATAGTTTACTCCAGCAAATCCACATGTTCGCATTATTGATGTCTCGATGTGCACCATCCAAACCATTCTTCATTTGTTTAAATTTACCAAACCGCATCATCTGCAATCGGCTTAAGACTCCCAAATAATACGTCAAGTTATTATTATCATTTTCTTTTTTTCAGGTACTGTAGAAAATATCCTGTTCCTGACAACGTCCTAACATGATCTCACTAGCTGTAAAACATCCAGAGTTTCCTCGCACGCTAAGATGAGCTACCATACGAGTAACTACTCAGAGATGAACGCCAGCGTCGATTTAAACTCTAGTTTCAACCTCAATGCGACCCTCATTGGTTTGGCCAACGGCGACAATGCCACCCTCAACATCTCGGAGGGTATCATCCCCTACAACCAAAGACCCGAGACGTACATCGTTCCCGTGCTGTTCTTTTTGATATTCGTGGTGGGGGTGCTGGGCAACGGGACGCTGGTGGTGATTTTCTTGAGGCACAGGACCATGAGGAACGTACCTAACACGTAAGTAATCCCATATTTGAAAAAATCCAAAACACAGTCTACAAATGCTTATAAACCATAATAACTTCATTGTTAACTCTTCATAATAACTGTACTTCCAAAGAAACGTAGGTTTTCCAATAAGTGTAGCAAAACTTTAAAGAGAAGGACAATAATAACCGCCAATGATAATAACGTAATATTTGTTTCATTTTGACATGCAATTGATGACATTTTAAAAATAATATCGTTAAAATGTCCTCGACTTCGTCTGACTGAACGAATTCTGGAGATAGAATTAATATTCAATTTAAGGTCTGAACTTGTTTGTGGCATCTGTAAACCATAGATTTCACATAACCCCACAAGTGAAAGTACAAGAGGTGATATCACATCATCTCCGTGGCCAGTTGACATTAGCGTTTCTCAAAACAACTTGTCCAAGACACTGCTGCAAATGAATTGCCTGACGAGATGTGTGACAAGTGGCACCACCTTGTTGATTAAGCCCAAAAATCACACCAAACCTTCTGAAGCACCTCCTGAATCACTTGAGGATCTTCATCAACAAAAATTCTCCAATTATGTCTATTGAGCCAGAAATGTAAATCTAGTTCCATCTGCTCTAGAGACCATCGCGAAAGTTCGACGCAGATGATGACCAGCTGGCTTCAGGTCTTGAGTAATTTGGACTCTATAAACCTTTAGATGAGCAGTGATGAAAAATTAACTGCATAGTCGTCTGAAGAAGATCAAGAAGACTTAGAAGGACAGCGAATAGAGAACACGCATTTTGATGGTAAATTCGAATAAATTCTACACGTTGTTGATTTCTATATTTTCCCATGACTTGCCACAATGTACTAATCGCAGTTGTGAACCTTTGACATTGACATTTCGAGCCATGTGGCCAACATTCCATTTTAACGTTCGGATACGCTTATTATTGGAAAACCATAGCACTTATAGAACAATAGAAGCTTCACAATGTATGTAAAATTGTTGTTTTTTGCAAACGTTTCTCTTTAGTAGAGTGGTGCACTCCACAGGTCTTTCTGAATACAAGATAAGTTCTCGGTGACGTCAGCTGAAGTCGTTTTGTTAGCGAACACCCCACAACCGTAGACAAAATCCGTATCACTTTTCGCGTTAGTTCCTCAGTTTCTGTCTGGTTTTTCGATTGATTTATTATTAATTATTTATGCTAAATCAGTGAAATTAATATGATGAAATACTACATACAAGTTGTGTATTTAACTCTAATTGAAATATGACAAATGGACCGAAAGTGCACATTTATAGTGTTTCAACATGTTAGAAGGCGAAAATGGAAACCGACAATACCTAGAAAATATTTTACGCCCACAACAAACTATAAGGGTTTATATAAGAAGATTATAGAACTGGAGAAATAAACGAATCCACTTTCGTATCCAAAATTGCATGCAGATGCTATGCCTTGTATATTTCGTGATTGTGTCAGATATTTTTCAACAAGTAAATCATAACTCGAGTAGAGATGCAAAGTTAAAAATAATTGGGGATCAATAGATGTTAGAAGTAACTGAAAAAAAGTAGAGACGAATGTAGCAGACTTGGAACATTAATGACTAAAGAATTATAATGATTTGATATAAAAAGTTTAAAAAAATTGTATATTCGCCAGGTCCAATTATTAGTTATGCTGTTGTAGTAAAAACAAATTTTGAGACAGAATTGTTTCTTTACGATAAAGTCATACACTTGGATACAGACAAATTAGTAACGCTACTTATTTTTAATAACTTCATTGAAATACAAAATCTTGTAGGCAAAATTGTTGAAAACAGTTCACAGACAACCGATTCCTGAGTTAATTTTAAAGAGGAAGAAATAATAAATCATGTTTGTACTGTTTGAAATATTTTTAAAAATGAAAATTCGTTAGATACTATTGACCTCATTGATAAAATAAAACTTAATTTAAATTGTTTTTTTATTTATTACTAAACAATTAAAATTATATTGTGCCACTAAAGAAAGGTACAGTCCGTACGATATTTGTTTAAATATAATTTCAAAAAGACCCCTGCTTCGCTTTCTTGGAATTAACCGCATCGACATCCGAGATAAAAAGATATGGCGTTCATCGTAGCAGCTTACAGTGCATACTGTATTTAGCAAGACATTAGCAGCAATGTGGCATTTGATAAACCAGTTAACACCGCATTTTGCACAAATATCTAGGTTAAGGTCCACCGGACAACCCATGCACACAACGTCTTACATTTGCTGAGTAGATTTTTTCAAGAAAGTTATTTTTAGTTTTATTTCCAGTTACGTCAATAAGCAAAATTGTTGTATACGAAAAAATTATGAAAAATTTTCTAAAATTAACTAAAATTTGCAACAGAAGCAGGGGCGTCCGTTTGGTAGTTATTGCCTTCCATCTTTAAATGCATTGTCTGTACTTTGTGTTGGAAACGAATAGACTACAAGCCCATCGGAAATTTTCAAGGGGTCATTTGGCCCAGCATGAATTACTTATAAATCAATACTACCACATATAACAATAACTTTAGAAACTATGCCGTCAATTCTTGTTGGTAGGTACAGGTGAGTACACAGGTAAGCTAAACCTGCCCACCAAGGGAGGGTGGTTTTCGGCAAAACATTTTTGTACGGCATTTTTAAAGTACATAGGTTATACAAAAAAAAATGAACCTCGACCTAATGCCGGAACAAAAATAGCAATACCGGAAGCCAGGAATATTTTTGATTTTCCGAGAATTTTGGCCCGGGTTTTGGTGATTTATTACAGTACGAAATTTATACTGCATGTTTCGGATCGATACATAGATACATTTTTAAGAGACGCCGTACGTACTTGCTGATACAGGGGTTAGGAATACAGGGTGCAACCCTCTATTAATATATTTTGTTAATACTGATACCTAACAATAACCAACAAAGACAAAATGCCGTACAAAAAAAATGGTTCTAAAGGGCTTGACATATATTTTTGCAAATATGTAAGTAGATATTACTTGCAAGAATTGATTTTATTATTACTACTATTTTCTCCTTAATACAAATTATTTACTACTGTACGGCCTTTCTATAATAAGACTTACAATATCATACATATAGAAATATTTTTCAGTAATGCCGTACATATTTGTCGATACAGGAGTGAGAAACCCCGGATGCAAACCCCTATATTCTAACGTTTATGGTTTCCGATCATTGAAAAATTGTCGGCATTTTTGTTAAAACACTATTTAAGATGTAAAATAATTTTTAAGTAATATACCGTTAAAAAACCATAGGTCGATATAAAAATTATTAATTTTATTAATTTGAAAAGCTTATATATTAATATTTTTGTTCACATGTACATAAGTAAAATTTTTTCAAAATCCGAAAAATTAGAATTAAAAAAATCTATAAAAAAATCTGCACTCGAATATATATTTTTAAAATTTGGAATTATTTTTATTTTAAAATTAAAATTACCACTTCGAGATTCTAGATGGCCATCAAAACATCTTTCTCTGTCTCTTTTTTCTTTTCGGCGTGTAAATTTTTATTTAGTTCTATTCATGTTTATAACCTACAATCTTAAAGTTGTTTTTGTAACAAATGCACTTTTAAATTATTTTTACTAATTTTAAACATATATTGTATGCCAATGGCTTCATCACAATTTTTGCATATATAAATTGTTCAAACAATTGTAACAGAAGTTGCAAATATGCAAATGCAAGGGTACTGTATTACTTCAAAACAAGGACATTTAAATAAAGGGGACTATGCATGTCACAGTCTATCTCATATGTTGGGTGAAGCTAGACAAGAGGAAAGCAGAGGGCTTTATTTTCATCCAACTGATGCGCGCGATTACATCTCCAATGTCGTACATTTTGGATGGGTCAAAATAAAATATTTTATAGTCCTAAGTCAATATATTTCAACAGCTACTCAGTATTTTTATAATAAATATATATAATATTTTTATAACTTCTTGGAATCCCAATAACTGTAACCATTTCTTTCTTGTTGCACCATCCCCAAGCATCCTAAAAACGTTCACATTTCACTTTTAGAATACTGAGGCAAATTTTCAGTGAGACATAAAAATATATTCCCAAAGGAGAACATCAAATGGTTGAATGAATGCAACTTTCAGTTGATTGCATCTTCGGTATTTTTATGTATAAGTGAACCACCACCATATTTTTGCTGTTGTATTTATTCAGTTTTTATGCTCGTGCATTTAGTAAAATTGTAAATATATTTTTGAAAAGGTTTTTGTCGTAGAGGAAAATGAAAATGATGAATGATTAAAATTTGTAATGTTGGGTATAAGGGATAACATTGAAATACCTATAAATATATTAAATATAAATAATGTCTGTAACTTATTTGTGGTGCAGCATTTTCCTTTGATTTTAATGGCCAAACGTGGTTCATATTATTGTTTTCTTACTATTTCAGCAAAAATTTTAAAAAAATACCAAGTCAGTTTTATAAAATTTTACCGTTATTCAAATAAAAGTTACCCACACGCACGACAATGGCCACAGTTGCATATACATTCCAAAGTCACCTTCAAGCACGCTTACCTGTGGAAGGATAGCTGATGTGGATGTTTATAATCCAAT